CACATAATCTCCAGAACTCGTTTGCTTGTTTCTAACGCAGCTATTTCGGTCGCTAATTAAGCGCTCCAAAAAAACCCAAATCATCTTCTCATTGTGACTCATTGGTGTGAGAGATTGTGTAATTTTCGATATAGAAAGTGAAATACAAGAACGTGAGCGATTTGTACAAATAATTCTAAATAAGGTATTGAGCTCACGAACTGCATTTTAATTTGCTTCCAAAGTATTTTGATAGACCGCCGCTCTACCGCAATATTATGTATATGTGCTATAAATAGATCCGATTGCAGTGATAGAAGATTCCCATTCTTCAGTACTACGAAATGATAGTGAAAGGTAAGGTTATTGAACTTCATAATTATATTAAAATATTTTAATAAAATCATAAATAATTTAGTTACAAACTGCAGTGTTGTTGTTTTTGTCCATCATATTGCAATAACAATTTATGCTTGGGAACATTCTTATCTTTATTCGGAAATAGATATTTCGGTTTTCATTCGATCGCTCTAAGTCGGTTTTTTTATGGTGATAAGAAGTAAATATTTTAAATATAAAATTGTTGGGAAGTTTAAAAAAATATTTTCTGTTTTGCGGTTAATAAGCATAGTTGTTATTAGTTAAAGTTCTTTAAAGTGGATAAGATTATGTACACTAGAAAAATTTATGTATAATAACAGAAGTTGCCTTTATCTCGCACAATCAATGATATATGCTAAACGAAAACAACTCCTTTATCAATTACATAAAATAATAAAGTAAAACTCGAAGATTTGTGATACCAAAGTCGAAGAGTTGTCCTTAGTTGTTTGCGATTTTCCCCAAATATTAATACCCAAAGCGTACCATGTAAATATGTTGTCTATATATAAGCCTAACGCTTGGGGTCGATATGACGTTGAAATTTCCATATATGCAGTATTGTGCATTGAACGCCTAGACACCCATTTGTCATACTCTTTATAATTTTTCATGGAATGTCATGTCTCTTGATAGCTTTCTAAATACGTTATCTTGTTTAAATTTTATACTATTGTGCGACTTACAGGGAACCTTACCTTCGAATAAATTCAACGGTTCGACAATAGATTCATATATTTGATATGTAGTACATAGTGACTATATATGGCATAATACATAGTGTCTATATTAACGTATTATAACTATATATACACGTAGACTATATAGTATTATGTACGCATTACATATATACATAATTCCTATATAATAGTTGCTATGCCAAAAATTTGTTATAAAAAAAGTATTCCTGTGATCAATATTCATAATAAAGGGCAAACTATGCGGCTTATGGTGTATTAACCGTAATTCTAAAATCCATCCATGACAATATTAATGACATATGATATGTTCACATAGCTAATAACACTTATAACACTTAACCTTCTGTTCATACTATCTAAAAAGAAATACAAAATTTATTTGTATCCCAGTCATAAGACCAGAATAGCATAAACATAAATTATAATTTAAAAAAGTTATTTTCAGAATATATACTTCAACATGTCAATGCAAGGCTTTGTCAGAAAGTGTGTACCATGCTTATCTATTATTTTATACACGATGCATTATATCCCCTATTTTTTAGTGCAGTGGAATACCTGCAAGTATTCCTACTCTGCGAACTTTTGTCGCATTCTTTGCATACCAAGTGGAGTAAAGGGTTGTACATAATAATCTAATATTTATTTCAGGATCCCGATACGAATAATACGGGTTATTATTCGTATCGGGATCCTGAAATAAATATTAGAGTATTATGTACAACGCTTTACTCCACTTCGTAGCACTTTGAAAACTGGTAATAGACAGAACGGCGCTCTTTTAACCCAGCCTGGTAGTAAAACCGGATACATTAAACTATTTTGAATAAGTTACGTTCTTAAGTTTGGAGTTTCCTCCTTCGAATTTTATAAAATTGAAGAGAAAAAAAAATAGTGCACTTCTGCATCTGTAGTGGAATAATATAGTGGAACACTTCCAGCTGTAGTAAAAAACAGGACGAATATGATAGATAAACGTATCTATAGTTCTTTAACAGAAATATCCTGCGCTATGAATAAAATTGTGATGCGTTTTGTAAGAGTGTCAACGTAGTGCCATTAAGACAACATTTAAGATGGGTTTTTAAGTAATAGTAACACAACACAATCCACTGGCGACACCAAGCCACAGATCGGACTGGCTGTATAATCTAAGTACTCAACTAAGAAAGTAAGTAACTCAATAGACTCGTAGAAACTAACAAAGTTAGATTTTGAATCGCTTTGTTCTTACAAATAATAATAAGATATTGATTAATTGACCGAATGATAAGTAAATTCGCATCAAAAACTACATATAACGATCTCCATCGTAATTGGGGGGTTAAATTTGTTAAGAAATAATAAATGGAATGTATTGATTAAGCAAGTTTTAAATAATAATGGGAACAAATAAAAATTTATCAGCATAAGTACAGCCTTCTGTACTTATGACAATGTCATTGCACTAGCCAGCATTTTTAATTTTCTACTACAATATAAGGCGCACTATCAGTCTTCATAACCATACAAATTAATAGCATTTACACTAACAACAGCCACGGTTGCGCTACTGCTGGTACATCACGGTATTACTCATCATATTTGTATGACGTCAGTATTAAATTCTATCAAAAATCAAATTTGAAATAATTGGGAAGAGTTGGACATTCTTCTTGAATATTTCATGTGCATTATTTCAGGTTAATATACTAATTTTTCTTTAAAACAAATTCAAACAGATTTTTTCAGTGACAAATTAATAAAAGTCACTGTTTCAAATGAAAATGCAGTTTTTTGAAATAAAAACTTTATTCAAAGAACAATTAAGAAATGTTTAATTAGGAAGTAAGTTGTTTTAATTAAGAACTTTGGAAATTGAAAGCTTAATGAGATTTATTAATAAATTATAGTTAATAATGATAAATAAATTTATATTTATTATGATATTTATTAACATTACAAATAACATTTATAAAATATGATTTTTTTTTAAAAATACGTTAAATAATTACATGATTTTGAAACAAAACTAAGATTTACTTATCATTTTTAGATAAAGATTTTAAAAACAAAATATTACTAATATTGGTTGGGCCTAAATGCTTCCTTTTTTCCGCGATAATATTTCGAGCTAAAGAAAAAACTCGCTCTGATGCCGCGTTGCTGGCAGGAATTGATAATAACTTGAAAGCTAATTTAGCTAAATTAGGATAGTCTTCACTGTAACGTTCCCACCATTTAAAAACGTCAAAAACATTATCCATTTGGACCCTCAGCATTGCATAACGTTCGATTTCTTCCATTGGTGTTTCTCGGATCACAGATTCGCCAATTAACTGCGGAAGAAAGTACTCCATTCCATTATCAATCGATTCATTAGTTTTATTTTGTGGAATTAACTGCGAAGCTGATAAGGCAGCAGGTGGCGAAGTTGACTTCATTCGTTTGATAATTTCTTGCTCACAATATTCCTTGATAATTGACATGTCGCTCTGCTGCAAATGATTTGCTGGCGGATACAAAAACAGTGCCGCTTTATGAGTGATGCTTAAATTTGGCATCAAGTGTTCTTGTATGCCGTCAATTACTTTCTTTTTAAAGTCAAAAATTGTTGCTCCATCATTTTCATTTGGTTGACACAAACTTATTATTTTTTCTACAGATAGTATTACCAAGTTCATCGTAGGATAAGCAGATTCTTGTAATTTTTTTGATATAATATCAAAATCCGTGCAAAGAACAACCAAAGGTTTTATCAAAGATATGTCAATCTTATTAGTTATATTCAATTCTTCAGACTGCGGAAGAATTTCATTAATCTTCTGCCAGTTATTGTCTATTGACTTCAGCATTGCGAATTGAGAATACCATCCAGTTGGGCAATAAGTTTTTACAGATGTTTCCAACATATGCAGCAAATTTGCCTTTTTTAAGTATTTTACAAGAAGTTTGCAGCTTTCAATAGTATCTGTAAGTTCTGAAGTAGCATCAAAGGCAGAATTAACTATATTTGATATTAAGTGGTTAGCGCAATTTAATCTCTTATTATTTTGAAGCGCTTTTGTAACATTGCTGTCTCGATCAGTAACAAAAGTTATTGGT